ACCTCAGCATAAACGAACTGATGGTGGCATTTGCTGCCCTGAGAGAGAGCCAGGTGCATACTAGCTGGGGGAAGTTGATCATGTGAGTGGTGGTATATGAATGCTACTCCGGATGAGACAACGTCGTCATTGGCTACACTATGAACTTGTTGGAGTCCACGTTGTAAGTAAATGTGTTAGTCCATATACACTCCATACATGATGATGATGATACAAACTCAGGCGCTCGAATTTTTTAGATTCGGCCGGAGTTGCAATCCAGGATCAATTCCATTCCTTGTGCCAGTATACTTAGAGAGGCAGGAGTCAAATTTGAAGGAGTTACGTCAAGAAACATCTTGGATCGATTTAATATTCAACAAGAAAGAGGGTGCTCCTGAAATCCCATCTTTCGTGATCCATCCAACTACGGAAACAATACTTCGGAACCTCATTAGCACCTCATTAGCTTCGAGCATGTAACCCTTGCCTTGGGTGGCCTTGGGCTGCTTCTAGTTGTTATTTTTTATTTTGATGATTTGAAAATCAAATATAAATTGGAATATTTTTTTTATTTGCTAGTGAATTGAAAGTTGATTCACTTGTGAATATATGATTTATTTTTAATAATATTAAATTCATTTTTAAATATGAAATCTTGAATATGTTTTTTTTTTTTTTGGAAGTCTCTTTAATTATATGATTATATTTAATTTATGATTATATTTTTTTTATTGTGAGTAACCAAAAACAAAAAGTGTGTTTTGCAGTTGAGGTTCCAATTCCTGAGACAAGGTTTGGAACTTTTGATAATTCTAGTTTTTGAAGTGTCAATGTAAAACAATTTTCAGGGTTCAACCCTTTGTGTTGGATCATTGATTTACCTATCATATTTGACATATATTAATTTCAAAAAGGGCTCCAACAATAGAAAAACCACTAATTGAGCATTTTCAAACTATAATACTAGATTTGGAAGAGTGGATAAGCACGAAGAATAGAGTTTTGAAGTTGAAAAACCAGAAATGATTAAGTTTTTGTTTTGTGCTTTGTGAAATCTCTTATTTTCTTATTTTTTTTATTATAAAAAGTGAGAGATGGATCAGGAAAACTTTATTAGATCTAAAAATCCATTCTTGAAGTATAAGACGGGTTGAGAGATTTATAATAAGGAATTTAAATGATTGATAACAAGGAATTTAAATGATTGATAACACCAACAAATTATTATAATTGATTTCATTAGCACCCGTTGAAGTTAGTGTTAGTAGATTAAATCATAAGTGTGTTGAAGTTAATGTTAGTGGATTAAACTGAAGAACTGGACATAGGTACCAAAAAGGGTAACGAATCAAGATATATCAAAGCATTTGATATTTCTTACTCTACTATTTTAATTCTTGCAATTTAGTTTACATTGATTGTTTGTGCTTGATCATTGATTTATTCCGAAAATTGCATAAAGGAGACACTTATGTTACCAAAGAGGAATTCGATAAACTCTTGGTACTTGATGGTTGCTTTATTATCGAGTTGCTCTGGAAAGGTGCTGGAGAGGTGTCTCTACAGGAAAGTGAGTATATACTCTTCTCAAGTGGTATGATTCTGACTATTTACCATGATCTACTTTTGCTAGAAAACCAAATACCTTGGTTTGTACTTGAGCTCTTGTTTGACATGACTAGAAGCTCCGAAAGCAAAATGACTTTGGTTGAACTTGCTATCACATTCATCCGCTCCGCATTCTCATCAGATGATAAACATCTGATGAGAATGAGCTTCTTGACAGCAGCTCAAGGATCGTTCATATCATTGATCTTACGGTACGTTATTTGGGTTCCTCAGCAAAAGACACAGAAAAACAGCAGCCGAAGCAGTCGCAATCCCTGATTAATTGTAATTCTATTCCTTCTGCCACTAGACTTAGAGAGGCATGAGTCAATTTTATAACAGTTGCAAAAAGAAACATATTGGATGTAAGATTCGACAAGAACAAAGGTAATCTTGAAATCCCATCTTTGCTGATTCATCCAGCTACGGAAGCAATATTTTGAAACCTCATTGGCTTCCAGATATGTAGCCCTTGGGTTTGGTGGGCTTGGGTCGCTCCTAGTGTGATAATAAAACTACACAGTGCTCCTAGATTACCTGGTGGACAGTACTGAGGATGTGGATTTACCATGCAGATCTGGGATTTTTAGTAACTGGTTGAACAATAAGGAGGCGGTTGACCTCTTAAACAGACTTCGCAGTGGGTATCAAATGGATAAGTTCTATTATGCTGATCTTTGCGAGGAAATAGACAGTTATTGCCGGAAATGTTCGCGACAATGGCGAGTTTCTTTCATCGACAACTATTTGACGAAGCCATGGGCTATCGTGTCTGTAATTTTTACCGCCATCGTCTTGGTTTTCACCATCATGCAGGTCTTCTATAAGTAGGAGAGTCTAGTTTTTAGATTTGTCAAGGTATTGCCTGGATATTGCTCTAATATGTTCCTCTTCTTTTGCTTGTACTCTTTCGATTGATGTTGTATCTTTTGCTCTGTTGCTTCAATAAAATATCATTTTTGAATTGGTTTTTTAGTTATCTCTATAATTTCATGATCAATATATAAGCTCACAATATATGGACTTCAATCTTTTCTCCTTTTTTTTTTTTTTTTGGCTATTTCCTGAATTATTATTTATTTTGGGTAAATTACACTAAAATTGGTTTTTTTCCTGAATTATTCTTTATTTTTATTAAAATATGTACATCACATCCAACAGTATTAATGTACCTTCCCTGAAACAAGATCAGCAGTTTTTCTGGCTTCGACAACACCCTTTCCTAAAAGGAGATATAGCTTCAGCAGGCTGATGGGCTCCAAACACTGAGGTCCCCGCAACAA